GAAGGAGATCCTGGGGAGCAGGGCAGAGCGTGCAGCAAGAATGGATACGACACACAGCCCAAACTTTAGGGCCCCCGCTAGAAACAGGTCACGTCCTGGTCAGCTCCCCACTGGCATCCTACTGCAGGCAGGGAAACCCTGGGAGGTGAGGTTTCCTTCCCTCCTCCAGTACCTCCCAGAGGAGCTGGGCGCTCTCTCCAAGTCCACAGCTTGCTCTGCACTTCAAGCCACTCCTATAGGTGACCCAGGGGAGTCACACTTTCAGACAGACACTGGCCTCCTGCCCTCAAAAGCAGATGGGAGGGACACACATCCCCAGGCCAACAGCTTCTCACACACAGCCACGTACTGAGACCCGACCCCACACTAGTGCAAGAACCCATCACCATGTCCTTTGCAGCACAGGAGGGAATGTGCCATCCCAAACTAGGAGGTGCAACATTTCCATAGCCTCTTCTGGGCTACGCAGCAGGGCTGGAGATCCTCTGCATGGGTAAGACTGCCCTACTGGGTCCTTGGGTTTCCAGCAACCACAGCCTGTGGCCAGGTAAGCTTGGGCTCAGTGATCAAGGGGAGCAATGTGCAAGGCCGGCACATGCGGTTCCATGCAACTGTCCTCTAGAGAAACCCACCCTAGCAACCACTGGGCTGGCTGGAGGCAGGATCTCATACCTCTGCTCTGCCACCCTGCCCTACCACAGGATAACAACTGGCCAGTTGGGCTTGAGACTGTCCCTTCCAATAGGGCACACAGCAGAGGTCAACATCTTGCCCCTGTCCACAGGGCTAGGTGCAAGAGATGATGTTCACTAGACAGAGGGACAGAGCAAGCCTCAGCACCATCCCTGCTCCTGTCTCCAAGCAAGAGCGAGGGGGCGAGCCCTGGGGCCAAAGAAAGCCTCACCACCCCAGACTCACCAAGAAGAGCCCAGACCTTGTGTAAGCCTCTAGCTCCACACTCACCTGCCCTCCAGCCACCATCCAAAGCATCACAACGCCCCTCTCTGTTGGGGCTGAACTGAGGACAGCAGGCCCTGGGACAGGCAGCCTCTTGACCATGCCACGACCCCCACTAATTTAATTAACTCGTAACTGAATTTGACCCACAGTGCAGTACTTCTGAAAAAGAATCTAAATGTAGAAAAAACTACCACTTACGGGGCAGAGGCATTAGGACTGGCTAAAGAGTGAACAGAACTTGACCATGATCTTTGGTTGATTCCACAACATGCAAAAAGATAAGACAGATTCCATGGATTATTTTTAAAATAGATTCATCCTCCTGCCCCTGCTCCCTCACCAGGTCCAACTTCGCAGCACTGGCCACGCAGGAGGAATTCAGTTTCAGCCATCCCATGTGGCACACGGGTCTTTTAGAGCACAAATGAATTCTTAACACTTACAGCCTCTGCCACGTGAGCCATCCTCATGTAATGGTGGCTGTTGCTGCAGAAGGTACTTTCCTGCTCCAGGGGTGGCCTATGATGTACAGGCATCCCTGGGAACACACTTTCGAGACTGCTCACCTCCAGATCCGAGAAGGCTACTGGGTCCCAGCTAGTGCCTGGTACTCCTGGAGAGAAGGTGCTGACCACCTCACTTCCACACTCATGCCCTGGTGAGACTTCAAGCAAAAGCGTTTACTTCAGGCACTCGGAGGTCCAGGACAGGCAGAAGCATCGCTCCGTGATCCAAGTAGCAAAGTCTTCATGACTTGGCACGGCCAAGACCAGCAAGCCCAAAAGATCTTTTGGCTCCAAAAGCCTTCCATACCAGTTCCAGCAAGAGTCATACTTGACTTCCCACAGTGCCAGTTCCTCTAGCAGAGGCATGAGGAAGGACAGCAAAGCCTGAACCACTCTTAGCTACCTGCCAGACATCTCCAAGGGCATCCTTCATACTTTTGTGAGGGGAAAGCAGAGTCCCTTGCTAGCAAGGGAGCCTTTGGGTTTGGCCCTTCATAACTTCTGCAGGCACCACCAGAAAACCCTTCATTTTGAGGCCAAATGGGGAAAGCTCTGCTCAGCAACTCCTCAGATTAGCCAAGAAGGAAGACTCATTTGTGAAGCTGGGTCTTGTTTACTAGACCAGCTACACAGCCAGGTAGCAGGAGGAAGAACAGTTACCCCATCACGGGGACTAGCTGGGATATTGATACTCAAAGCAGCTTAGACTCATGTCCAAGAAACTTAGATCTGAAAGAGCAAGAAAGGAGAAGGAACGTCCTTTACAGGGTATTTACAGAGGCACCAGGATATGAGGAGATAACGGGGAGATTCCCACATCCCTCCCCCAATAAGAGCAACTCATTGATAGACCAAGAGGAGGTCTGGGAACACACCAGTTCCCAGAACCTCTGTGTGCATAGTGACTTCGGGGTTATTTGCTCCGCCAACAATCTGTCACTAACAGAAAGCTGCATCTAACATTGAGGGGACTTTTATGATGCACGAAAACAGCTCTGAAGCACCATCCTGGTTCAGCCAGACCAAGTACAAGATTAGCAAGTGGTGACCATAACTACTACACCCTCAAGTTCTTCGTAGCGAAGAGCAGCCATCGCAGTCATTTGACTTCAGAAATTATATTAACCTTATTTGTTTCAAGTCAGAGAGCTAGAATCCATGCATGCAAGAGGTATCTAGGTCCACTCAAGCAGAGATTACAGAAATCAAGAGATGCCTGGCACCAGTCCATGAAGTGCTACAGACATCCAGCACGTAACACAGGCTGCTCACCAGTGGTATTCCCAGGTGGTTCCGGCAGCCCCAGCGTGCAACAGCAAAAAAAGGCCAGGGATGAAGTACTTGCTACCGAGGAGGCTGTCTGGGAGCTGAGAGCCTTCTGCCTCCCCTAACAGGGCATCTTCTAACTCTAATGGGTAACACCGCAGCCTTGCTGTGGACCAACAGGGAAGATGATCCTCTCCTAGCAGAGCTTAGCCAGGTAGCTTCTCTGGTCGTCATCTGGGCTCTGCCCACCCAGCACAACCTCACATTTGATGCTTTCCACGTTCAGAAGTCCACAATGTCCAAGCTCTACCACAACAGCAGCAGCCACCACCCATAGAGCTGCAAGCAGGCCCTTGAGACCAGGCGCTCTGCCTTCCAGAGGCAGGGGGCCAAGAGGACACACGGGATAACCACAGACTTCAGCCGCCTGCTTTGGGCATCTAGACAGCCAGCTCCAGATTTCCCCCGCTCCCCACGGACCTACAACTTTCCAGTGACCTCCTGGGAGAGCAAGGATGAACTACCAGAGTAGAAGCAACGCTTCTGCATCAGACACCGAAGACAGCAGGGTGAACACACGGGGTCCTTATTGCAATACAGCCACGAACACAACACACGGTGCCCATGGTAAGCAAGCAAGCTCCTCCGGCTGCCGGAAAAATCTCTGCCTGCAACGGGGGTGTGCAGCACCTAGGCAGCTGCCTGTCTCTCACTACCCCTTGGGAGCGCTGGGACATACGCTGTCACGCAGATTGGCGGCTGCCTGGAAAACTAAACAGAAGATAGCAGCAAGTGGGGAGGGATCGAGTTTGGGGAGGTGTCTGGTGAGGAACAGCAGGGACTGACATTAGGCCCTGTTTGTTTAACATTCCCGTTAACGACCT